CAACAACTTTGGGGGTACAAAGTTGAAGAGAAATTATATCTGGGGGTACGCGAAGACATCTTAGGGGGTACGTGAAATTTAAAAAAAATATATATTATTTTATGATAAACACTGAATAATCAGTAATGTAATTTATTTAATTTATTTTAGATGTAGATTATATACTACGTATAACTTGAATTATAAACCAACAACTTTGGGGGTACAAAGTTGAAGAGAAATTGAATCAGGGGTTCGCGAACAAAAAAGGTTGAATACCACTGTTCTAGAGCATTGATGTTTCTTGTTAGTTCATGTTAACCTAGACATAGACAGTGCAACGGTGGCTTAGGGGCTGATGGTGATCTACTCTGAATGTGGTAACGAACCCTTGGATTCTATAAGATTTCGGGAATTTCCTGTCTAACTGACTTACCAACAATTTCACAACAACGGCTATGCTCAGAAGAATTAATTAGTTATTTGATAGTTACTTTAATATACTTCAAGTTTTTCCTTCAGGAGAAATATCCCATGTTTTAGAACTGTAAATATTAAGAAATCAGCGGGCAAAGCACTTACGTTAATATTCAGTTCCATTAAATTCTTTACTTACGCAGAACAAAAACCTTTTGCTGAATGTGTTAATGTTTGCTGGTGGCAGAAAACTTTAAAAGTTTTACTACAAAAGCATATTTAAGTTTAGATCCAATTATAGTAAAACAGAGCATCAGAAGACTTATCAGTAGATAAGTGGTATAGCGGATTAGAAAGAAATGGTCGTTCCAAAATAAAAACACGACTTCCAGACTTGTGAAAACATATATAGTCCACATGCCAGTGAAAAAGTTTTGAATCAATAAAACTCCCAGATCTTTAGTAGTAAACGTATGATTAATATGAGTGAGATCCTTGAAGTTTAAAACCAAACACAATCGAATTCATCTTCGTGGTAGAATTAATAAATTATAGTTTTCTCTGTAAGATTTGAAGTTTTCACAGCGGTGAGTATGAAGATTTCTGTCTTCTGGGTTGTTGCGCTGTGTTGTCTGGTCGATGTTAACTAACGTTTCAGAGGTCATACTGCCTCCGTCATCAGAGTATAAAGATTTCTGTCTTCTGGGTTGTTGCGCTGTGTTGTCTGGTCGATGTTAACTAACGTTTCAGAGGTCATACTGCCTCCGTCATCAGAGTATAAAGATTTCTGTCTTCTGGGTTGTTGCGCTGTGTTGTCTGGTCGATGTTAACTAACGTTTCAGAGGTCATACTGCCTCCGTCATCAGAATCGAACTGATGACGGAAACATCTACCAGACTACACAGTGCAACAACCCAGTAGACAGAAATCTTTATAGTTTTCTCACTTGGACTAAGTTATATTCAATAATATATTTAATGAATGAAGGAGGAAACTCTAAAATTTTTGGTAGTGAAGGTTTCGATGTTAAAATCTAAATGTATAGGATTTAGTAGCTACGTGTTTATTGCCACTTTTCCCTAGACGGTCAGATATTTCAATAATAAAATTTCACTAAAACCGTACAGTGAAGTTTTCTGACCTACATCGCAGATATTTAAAATATTCTACTGACCGAGATATATATCAGACACCTTCTAAATACGGTTCGCATGCTGTTTTTAGACATATAAGACACTTTAAAATGAATGGTTTCTCTGAATTCCTCTTCCACATTTTAATTGGTTCAACAACTTTAATCTTGAAATTCTCGCGGACTGAATTTATGCAAATCAAATCTGGTTCCTGAATCTTACGGCCACAATGAGTGCGCAACAGTTGTTTTGTGAGACTGTAGTTTCAATAATCGTGTACTGGGTCCTTCGACCCAATTTAATACATTCTTTATGGATGACGTCCTCGTCCAAGGAGTCCTACCGAATGTCTATAGATCGAGCCAACAAAAAGTTGGGACCCACAGATGCTCAGGCACTTGAAGAACGGGTCGTTCCAGTATCCCAGTTATGGAAGACGTTTAAGTGACTTAGGAGGCAACTGTTCAAATCAAGCAATAATTTCGTTAAACTTTTCTTGTGTTGAAAATGTCCGTCTTCTGGGTTCTTGTACCTTATAGTCTGGAAGAAGTTAAATGATGTTTCAAAGGTGCTTGCAGCCTCCATCATCAGGGTGACGTCCTGCCATTTAACATGCAACTTGTTCCTACTTTGTTAGCAAGATTATGAATAGTGTTTTATTCGGAACTTATTAAATGAAAAATTTTCTTATAAATTTCTTCTGACTATTCCTAGTGAATCTACAGTTCGCTAAGTTTAGTACTAAAATAATCAATGCTAGAGCGTGAACTTATCTACGTTCTACACGAGAGAAACATAAATAACATTGAATCTTATCACTGGGGCTCGCTAGCAGCAATTTGGGTCAGCCGACAAAGTGATTACGTGTATTGAAAAGGCCATAGCTTAGTGTAATTGAGAAATACCTTCTTAAGGCACTTACAGATGGAATTAAGATCTTAAACTTAGTGCACATGGAAAGTGTAATTTGTCAGAGCGTAGAAAAATGGAAAAATGTTATCGTGTTAATTAGGTCACTGACCTGCATATCTTAGAGTGCGTCATAGATAACAAGGTTCCAGATAAGAAATATATCGTAATAATTTAGATTTGTTTTTGCTGTTTAAGGAATGAAGCAAATTATTTTGATTGCCATGAAATAGTATTACACTCTTATACTGGGAATTACAATTTATATATATTATCAGTTACACAAAAAATAAACAAAATTGTGTAATTATATCTTCTATGAACTTTGGAACCTTAGATTTTACGACAGTAACTGACACAAATTCTTGCATAATTTTTATCTAATTTATAGATTATTGAACTTAACCTCAAAATAATCATTTTAAAGATGAACTGTTTATGCTAAGGAATTTAGGTTACTAGTAAATAATTTAATTGTTTGAAAAACATTTATTATCCTTTTTCATGTATTCTTGAATAGAATTATAAAATTAGGATCAAATAATAAAATTGAATTAACATTAGTATTAAGATATTTACCACGTCAGTTCCTTTCAAATTTTAGAACTACAATCATTATTAAGGCTAGTCATGACGCAAGGACCTTCAAGTTCCATAATATGCAGAAATTTTCTTCACAAAATACGTCTGCTTCTATGCTTCAATGAATGAAATAACCTGTAAAATCAACAGAAATTCGTTCTCTCCCTGCAAGTGCCCATAACACGCGCCAAAACTCCCGAAAAACTATACAATACATTTCAAGGACACTTAATCCTGCTCGCGGGACATGAGACATAGAACCAACCAACCACTGATGTTTCAAACCATGAAATCAGGAATTCATGAGCAAATTTAACAAAGGATTTTAAAATTAACGTTACTCTTGGGCACTGAGGCGGTACACATGAGACACAAATACGTATAATACCATAGCTCGCGATCATTATTTGCGTTATTCATTTTCAAAACCGCACTAATTATGGCATTCCTCATGAAACAACTAATGACAGAACGACAGACGTTTGTGAAAGTGTGAGACAGAAATCGCATTAAGACACAATAACAACATTTCAATCCTTTTGCTTTAACGCGATGTCTAAACGGTTTCACGAACAAGTTACTGAGACAGCAACAACCAAATAATAATATTAAAAAATAATATTTGGCCAACATCCCGGGCGAACACGACGTCAGGGAACTTCAGAAAACTGCCATTTTAGGATCTTCATACATCATTCGAGAGACGCTGTCTTAAAATATATAGTCGTCCCTCACAATAAAACTATATAATACATATAACATATATTAAAAAAAATGTATTTCGGAAATATCTTCTGCACTATGTTCCTCAGGGGCAAGGTCTGTCTCTGGTACATAGAATTAAATACCCTAGAAAGTGATGAATAGATGGAATAATAATAATAATATAAAAACTAAGCAGTCAAAGACAGCCATCTTCTGAAAAACCAGTTCCCGAAACGTCTTGCCCAACATAATATTCCCATTAGTACATCGTCGTAGAACAAGAACGTGTCCAGTATTATAATCAATTTGAATAATACTCCGTTCCTCAGGGTTGGTACTCGAAGTTGCCGATTTATAAGAGACGTCATCAAACAGTTTCGGTAAAAGTTTCGTGATTTAATACGAGCTTCATTTTCAGATTGGCTAAACACCTGGATACAGGGAATTCAATCATCAATGACGGGCAGAAAACATTGAAGAGGATTTGTTCGCAGACGGACAAGAATGGAAAAGAAATGTGACCTTGGGTACCGGAAAAATGTATAAACATTGTTAAACCGGAAATATATATATATATATATGATTCATTTCTTCCTTCCATGATTGACCTTGATCGTTTCGAAATTTATATTTACCAATTTATTGTGTGCACGCACGGAACTGAAATAACATATGTGTGTTAGGACAAAGAAAATGTTATTACTTAAAGCACATGAATCATCATTTCATTTCCGCAAGCAATTTGCAGAAAAACTTGCGCAGACCGTATGGTTCAAGTAACTGCTAAATCTGTCCCACCTGCTACAGGCTGTCTACAAATATGCTGAACACTTAAATGAATTAGAAAATAACGTTAGGTCTCTGCACACTTTCCATAAATTAATCTGATACAAGAAACACAATTGTTTAATTTCAGTTCTGAATAAATCATTTTCAAATATTTTTTTTTGGGGGGGGGGAATTTGAAAATGCCGATAAATTTTATAATTATTAGTCATTCTGGATGTACTAAAAAGTAAGTGAATGAGAAATAACTTAGGTTTTAATATTATTCCTTCCTGTTTATCGAAAGCGAGCATGTATTAATGATAAATTGAATAGCAATTTGCATAGTTCCCGGGAATAATGACGAAAACAAATTTTGACTGACACGTGGATACATTGCGCAAATATTTTCAACAAAGGCAGCAGCTATTTAAACAGTATAAAACGTATAATAACGTAACAACAAATGCTGGAGAGATTTTTCAAAATGAGGAGCTTCGTAATTTGTAATCTTCAAAAATATCAAAGTGATCAAATGTAGGTGACCATTGGAGGCTTCAGAGGCCTCTGAGAGGCTTGTAAACTTCTTAAATAAACAGAGATTTCCCCAGTAAAAAGCCCGAGTCGTAACATTTTACTATTAACTGCAATAAGGCTAGACAATAATATACAACAAAACACAAATAAAGTTGTTTTTATATAAATTATGACAGATGTAAACTTTACGTGAAGTAAGGACTGTTATAGACAGACACAGAGCAAAATACATTTGCCCAAACTCGAACAAGAAAACATAAATGTAAGGTTAGAAAATCACGACTATCTCGTTTGTATTAATTTTAAAAGCTACAAGCAAAGAACGTGTAATAATAGTTAAGAATTCAAGAAATTACATTCGTAGCACAATTCTTACACAAAGGGAAAGCGAAACTATTTTATTGTATTAAAGTTGAATAGAATTTCGACTAGCTATTACGTGTTCACATCCTGTGAAACTTTGATGAGCAGTTGTTACACAGGGAAAGTCTCACAACGAGATGATGATGATGATGACGAAGGTAAGCTTACATTTGAAAGTAACAACAGATGAAGAAATTAACAACACTTAACTGCCAGGGTGACTTTGTGGCGTTAAAATCCAAAACATTTGCACGTGTGATTTTAATGAGAACTGTAGAGAACTAGACAAAATTATATGATTTTATGCCTTAGGTAATGGACAATTTTGAAACAATTAACTTCTAATTGACTTGTTTCATTTACGGTCAACAGCTCAGACGAGACAGAACCGAAAGACTGGATGGCTGTTTTTTTATTTGTAGTGTTCTGTCTGACGACAGGTCCATATGAACAGGATCCTTCCATCCTTTTCTCGGACTGGGACCTGTTCATATACGTTCTTGGCAGATGATCCAGAAGTGGTTTGCCATTGCCTTCTTCTGTGTGTGAATGGAGTAATTGTTGGGATGCCACGGAGGAAAACTCCGTGTTGCCTAGACCACGGCCAAGTTATAAATTCGGGCACCGCCGGGAATCGAACCCGAGACCCCAGGATTACAAGGCCAGCGTTCTAACCGCTAGACCACCGTGAATATTAAATGGCACAGACTTTGGAAAGAAGCTGTCTGGTCTAATTAAATAACTCTGATTTACCTCGAGACAAATAGAAAAATAGGGTAGCCAACCTCCCGGCTAACTTTTAAACCTGTAAACTCCCGAATACGAAGGAGTACCAATCACTCTACCGCGACGTTCCGTTTACCAACGTAAATAGGTTAGCACACCAAGAACGTATTGAGTGGTACCTTCTAATAGGCTACGACCGATTATTAGCTAAGTCATACCCATTCATAGCTCATAAACATTTTCTTAGCTCAGTGGACGTTTCACATCTTGAGCGGAAATTATTGTTACTCGTACATAACCTACAAATTAATGTTATACGTCACGTGATACATGACATGACATGACTGGAACTTCGCTGTTGGTGTTGCTAGGTTCTAATTGTGGTACTGAACCTGTTATATCACAGAAATAGCCATGCTAGTCCCAACCTGTGAACACGTAAGACATTAGATAAATTATTAACAACGAAGACACTAACCTTCAAAAAATAGAACTCGTCTAGTAAATTTTAAAACGCAGTTCTTGATCAACGTAACACGCCACACCACCGTCACAGACTGGAAAAATGAATTAAACTCACACATAAATGACGAATGACGTGTAGGGTTATTAACATGCAGAAGCCTGGAAATTAATACGTAAACGAAGGTCGTCGAGGTCTCTGCTGCATGAATTTAGATGAACTGTCTTTCCGGCAGATTGTTACTCTCCTCGTGCTGATGGCGGTGTGTGCCCGGTCATATCCCATCAAGGTTCACGACGACAACCAGTACGAAGTCCCACAGGAACACGAGCAGCTGGTACAGTACGGTTACGAGCCCCAGGATCACGAACTCGACGTGGAGCACAGCGTAAGTGTTATTACGAAACGTAAGAGGTGCAATCGGAAAGTTTTCAGACTGTGTCAATAGAGGGCGAACCGGATGTAGTACGAGCTTCTGACTTTAGGGGGTGCGGCCTACATTCATAGTGAATCAGTGTGCCAGCCGGCATCATCGAATTAGCATTTGTTTCTTAGTTACGGGCGTTTTGGTAGTGCATTACACCGACCCTCCTGCGATTTCGGAATGGCGGATTTTC